TTCAGGTGGAACTTCCTGGGCATCAGTTTTTGCTGTTCCCTTTTGTTTTCTCGATTTCTCCCACTGAGCAGAGTCTGATCATCCTCTTGGCACTTCCCATTCATGGACTTGAATCCATGAATGAGGTCCCTCTCAGTGTCTCCTCTGGAGACTGAACAGCCCCAACTCCCTCAGCCTTTCCTCATCACTGAGGTGCTCCAGTCCCTTCAGCATCTTCCTTGCTCTCCCCTGGACCTGCTCCAGGAGCTCCATGTCCCTCTGGTCCTGAGGAGCTCAGAACAGGACACAATCCTCCAGGTGTGGCCTTACAAGGGCTTAGCAGAGAGGCAGGATCACCTCCCTGCCCTGCTGGCAATGCTCTTCCCAATGCATCCCAGGATTCCATTGGCCTCTTAGCCACAAGGACACACTGTGACTCATGGACAGCCTGTTGTCCATCAGGACCCCCCGGTCTTTCTCCTTGGAGCTGCTCTCCAGCAGGTCAGTGCCAACCTGTGCTGGTGCTTGGGGTTGTCCCTCCTCAGGGACAGGACCCAGTTATATAATGCATTTGTATGCACTCAGCAGCACAGAGATGGCCAGAGTAATTGGAAATGAGGGGTTTTGCCTCTTTTTAATGTAAGGGCAAAAATGAGCACTTCTCACATTGAGGACACCAGAAGTGTGTGCAGTATTCCAGGTGGGTCTTAGGAGAGCAGAGTAGAGGGGGAGAATCACCTTCTCCAGCCTGCTTCCCAAACTCCTTTGGCTGCAGCCCAGGATTGGGTTGTTTTCTGGGCTGAGCTCACACTGCAGCTCATGGGGAGTTTCTCATCAGCTGTCACTTCCAGGTTTTTCTCCTCAGTGCTGCTCTCAGTGAGTAGGAAGAATAGTAGGTAATGTAACAGGGCAGAGTGGATATAATCAGGCAGCAGGGGCTGTGTGTCTGCAGCAAGAAAAATGCAAGGAATGAGTTTAAACAGCTACTTCCTTGTGGTTCTTGTAGCAAACGAGTTTCACTTTGAAAAGGTGCAGCATGGCAAAGTATCAGTTACCCTGTGCAATCAAACTTGATGATGCTGAGCTGTGTGGGAGAACTTGCAGGGAGAATGAATGGGTAAAAGACAAAGCACAGTGCTCAGTGTCATACTCAACCACTGTGTGCCTCCTGATGGAAGGTGAACAGGTGAACTTTGCAGACCTTCCTGTGCTGTCAAACCTTCATGATTTACTGGAAACAGTTTCTTTGCTCTGAACTGAGTCAGGAGGAGGGAATGTGTCATAGCACTCTAAAACCAAGATGTAATGAGTCAAAATCCTTAGTCTTGTTTAGGTATCACTGTGACCTGTTGTCAAGCTTGGAGTTTCTTATGATTTTATGCTGAGCAAGGGATGTGACTAGCAAAGTGTTAGGCAGAGTTTTTAGGCTCTAGATAGTCAGAGTTTATTTCAGAGAATCATGGAACCATCAAGGCTGGAGGAGACCTCTAAGATCATCCAGTCCCACCATGAACCTGTCGCTGCTGGAACCCCTGAACCCTAAACCAGATCCTCCAGTGTCAGATCCAGATGCCTCTTCAACACCTCCAAGGATGGTGACTCTACTCTACCACTGCACAATCCATTCCAGTGCCTGACCATCTTTCCTTGATGTTAAGTTTACACTCAGGTGTATCTGTGTTGCATTATTATAATCCTTTCTGCAAGGTACTGTAGGAGGTTTTTCAGTGTGTTTTAATGCTGGCTAAAACCTGATTGTGTCCTGAGCCAATTTAAGGAGGCCTGGACTTGCTCGTACGTCTTGCTTGAGAGGGACACAATCCATTCCAGTGCCTGACCATCTTTCCTTGATGTTAAGTTTACACTCAGGTGTATCTGTGTTGCATTATTATAATCCTTTCTGCAAGGTACTGTAGGAGGTTTTTCAGTGTGTTTTAATGCTGGCTAAAACCTGATTGTGTCCTGAGCCAATTTAAGGAGGCCTGGACTTGCTCGTACGTCTTGCTTGAGAGGGATGTAGCAAGGTCTTTCCCAAGTGTGCCCAGTCCTTCTCTTTGCATTTTTAAAATGCACAGCAGGTGTTGGGAAATCTCCTCATCCTCTCCTTGACTCTGCAGCAGAACCTGTGCGGATATCTGCACTGAGGAGCACCTGGGCCTCATTCCAGTGGGTCTGGTGAACTCTAAGAATTGGCTGAAGTTATGTTGGCCCTGGTGATTCACAAACAGTGCTGGATACACATAAGCAAGGTGTAGTGTAAGTAAATTCCAATTAACTAATCTGAAGCCAAGTGAACTTGGAGCAAACTGTATGGAAAAGTACCTTCTTTTCTGTCAACATGGGGAAGCTTTGGCAGTTGGGAGGTAAATGATCCATGTGGGATGGTGGGTAAGGCACTTGCATTGGGGTGGGAAGGTCACAGTTCATAGAACTGCAGAATCATTTAGATTGGAGAAGACCTTTAAGATTGAATCCAAGCATCACCCCAGCACTGCCAAGTCCACCACTAAACCATGTCCCTAAGCACCATGTTCATGTTCAGTTCTGCTGCTTTCATCTCCTTGGGCAAATGACGTTACCAAGAAAAATGTCACTTGTTCTGAAGTGAGGAGTGTCTGTGTCTTGGGGGAAGTAAGGAGGTCAGTTTGGTCTTGGTCTGTGTAATGCTTTGCAGTAGTATGACTCACTGTGAGCTGAGCACATGACAGGCTCTTATCATTGCTTTTGCCCTGAGGGAAATGAGGCCTATCAAGATATGCTGTTACTTCTTCTCGGTGACACTGCCCTAGACCTGAAGATCATTGCCCTTCCCTTTTTGTGAGTGTGGCCGGAATTGTACTAGTGTCTCACCTTTATAGCTCTCTGATGTTTGATACTGGTTGTTTTTATACTTTCTGAAAGTGCTGAGTCTGGTGTATGGCTAAGACTTGCTTTGCAAAATGAGACTGTGCCAATAACTAGGGAGGGGGAAAGAAAAATTAAGTGGTAATTTGGATTTATGAGCATGCAGTGCTACTGAGTACAAAGTAAGGACTCTCAGAATGGCTTAGAGTAGAATTTGCTCAACTGTCACGTGAGAATAGTGTGTTTTTGTTTGAAAGCTAGTTAATTTATTATACTAAGGGCTCAAAACATGGGCAATCTCCTCTGCAGATATTTAGAGTACTTGTTACTGTTTTAGTAAGTGACTCTCTGATTTTCTTTTTAGATTTTTATCATTAGAATCCTGTGTTCTGTTGCAACTCATGTTCCTTTCCCTATGAGGAGGCTCATTTTGTTGTTGGCAATTTAAGCTCTGTAAAAGCTGTTCCTCTTCCACCACAGTCCTCTGAAAAGTCACTCTATAATGAAGCAGAAGATGTGGTATTTTGTTTGCTTGATAGCAAGTAAGCTGAAATTCTGAGATGTGCTGCTTTTTACACTGAGGTAATGTAGAGAAAGTTGGAGGGTTGGTCCAGTTCTTGTAAGTGATTCAAATAGGAAAGTACACCTGGATGGGGAAGTAGCAATTCGTGATAATTGGAGAGCATGGATTTCTGACAGTGGCTTTGCTGTCAAAACAAATGTGTTAGTCAAAGAATCATCAAGGTTGGAGGAGAACTCTAAGATCATTGAGTCCAACCACTAACCTGTCACTGCTGGAACCCCTAAACCCCCAAATGCCTCTTCAACACCTCCAGGGTTGGTGACTCCACCACCTCCCTGGACAGTATTCCAGTCTCAGAACACCCTGACATGGAAAACATTTCTCCTCGCATCTAACTTGTGCACACTCTTAGCAAAACCCGAACTCATATGAGAACAGATTGCACAGTAATTATTTCTACCATCTCTGTGGATGTTGGTGAGTTGGTCATTTTGCAGGAACACCTTGGATGTGTGAGATGAGCTCATGAAACATGGAAGGTCCAGAGGAGGCCACCAAGTCACTAAGAGGACTGGAGCATCTCCCCTCTGAGGACAGGCTGAGGGAGTTGGGGCTGTTCAGCCTGGAGAAGAGAAGGTTGTGTGGAGACCTCAGAGCAGCTTTTCAGTCTCTGAAGGGCCTACAAGGAGCCAGAGAGGGACTCTGTGTTAGAAACTGCAGTGATAGGACAAGGGGTAATGGGTTCAAACTGAAGGAGGGAAAGTCTAGGTTGGATGTTAGAAAAACATTTTTTCCTGTGAGGTTGGTGAGACACTGGCACATAATTATAGGCAAATATGGTACAAGAGGTAATTAAGATATGGGATTTTTTTTTCACATTAAACATATGCAGCTTTTCCTTAGGGATATTCCTTTATTAGGGACTATCATGGTCATAATTCAAAGGTGATGAGAATTGTAAAGTGAGACCTCAAATCTGACCTCCTGAATGAGCTAAGGTGAAGAACACAGCTGGATCCTGTGAACTGTTTCCTCCACATACAGCCAACATCAGCATGGTGCTGAACTTGAGACTACAGAATACGGGGTTGGGACTGGATGATCTGTGAGGTCCATTCCAACCCCTAAATTCCGTGATTCTATGAAATGAGGGAGGGGAAAAACATTCTGCAGCATTCTATGTCTTCTCAGTAGTGCCTTGATAATAACACCTCACTAATAGCAACTGTTGGTTAAATGTGAAGCCATTGACTCATTTATGCTTATGTATGACCTGTTTAAAACACCTCTGAGGTCAGATTAAGGCGAATAAAGAGCTGAGTAACAAAGTATAGTGCAAATAGCTTTATTCTGTACTCCTTGCTTTGGATGGGTCAGCACTTAGGAATTGCCTTTGAGCACTGGTTGCCTAGAATGGTGTACTTGATCCTATGTCTGTTTTTTCCTGGGTGGACCCCAAACCTGCAGATGGCTTTGTGTTTGATTTAGTGCACAAACTGCTCACAGCACTGAAGTTGTACATGAAGTCCTGATAGATTTGTCTCCTTTATTGGCATATGTTGTTGCAGGTGAAAGACTCAACTGAAAAATCCGATGTAATTTTCATTGCCTTGGTAATTTAATCCTAATGTGCTTCAATATCTTGTGTACACAGCGAGGAGCTAGGAGAGTTCATGGAGATGAAAGGTGCCAACAGCCCTGGGATCCTTGTGCTGACCACAGGCCTCAGCAAACCCTTCATGCGTCTGGATAAATACCCCACATTACTCAAAGAGCTGGAAAGGCACATGGAGGTATATCTTATCAGCATTTATGTTCCATCTTAATGATGATTTGACACTAGTTTTTTTTAAAGGTACATGTCAGACATGATGGGACCCAACCTTTGCATTTGTTTGCTCTTCCACCAGCCTTCTAAAGTATGGGCTGAGCTCATTCATCTAAAGCTCAGTGCAGTAAAACTTCCTGTGGAAGCCAAACATTTCAAGCAGAACCATCCAGAGAAGCTGATCATCACTGCTAGAACAGTCTTATCAAGGGATTTAGTTGATTTGACATTGAATGTGTCTCTTGCATACTACTTGAGGCCACTTTATCCTGTAGGAGTGCTGTGTCTCACCTCAGCATGTCCAGCGCCTCACCAGACAGCCCCTCTGACTCCTACAGCACTGTCCAAGAGTGAGCTTTCCTATATGGCAAGGTGTTTGAGGAGCTACTGTTTGCATTTTATTCGGTTAGATGTTGGGAGTGTGAAAAACAGGAGAGAAACAGAAAGTGTACCGATCTTGTAGCACAACTTTTGTCAGTCAGTACCAGTGGAATGTGCTGGTTAGTCTGGAAGGAATCCAGTTTGTGGCAAGCTAACATGCTGAATTTAACTCTGTAAATACTTTCTATTGGGATTTCAAAATCTCTTATCCACTAGGTCTTGTAAAACTTGTGTGGGTTTGCCTGAGAACAAGTGGGAATGTTCTAAGTAGTTCTGCAGTCTAAGTAGAAGGAAGACCCAGCAGTGTTTGATACAAGAAGGCCATAAAAAGAGCAGATCTCCTACAGCTTCAGTTCTGCAGGATTGTTTATTTATTGTCAGTTAAGCATCTAACATTTTCCTAATTAATTTTGCTAGAACTAAACTTTTCACATACGTTTTCTCCATTGTTTTTAGGACTATCACCCGGATCGCCCAGACATTCAAAAATCCATGACTGCCTTCAAAAATCTTTCTGTAAGAATGATAAAAAATGAGATGTATTTTAAGTAGAATGTTTTCTAGTTTCATCCCCTTCTATTGCTTAAAAAAAGGTGTAACTTTTTGTGTGGGGAAACCTTTGAAAGCCTGGAAATTGCTGGCTCTTGATGTAAGAGCCACTCAAAACCACTTGCACTACTAGTGCTTGGCCTTTTTCCTCCCCAGGGGCAGGACCTGCACCTGCCCTGGTTGAATCTCAGTGGGTTCTGCTCTGCCCATCCCTCCAACCTGTTGAGGACCCTCTGAAGGGCAGCACAGCCCTCTGAGCTATCATCAGGAACTTGCTGAGAAGGCAACTCTGTCCCCTCAGCCAAGTCACTGATGGATAGGTTGAACAACACTGGGCCCAGTATGGAACCCTGAGGGACACCACTAGTAACAGCCTCCAACTAGACTGAGCCACAATTTGAACCCTTAACCCATTCCAAATTGACCGAGTTAAGAGATGTTACCTCTGTGCTGCAATTTCAGCCCTTAACCCATTCCAAATTGCTAGAGTTAACAGAGATGGTGTTTTTCCCTGTGTTTTTAGGCACAATGTCAAGAAGTTCGGAAAAGGAAAGAGCTTGAGCTGCAAATACTGACCGAGGCTATTCGATGTTGGGAGGGAGAGGACATTAAAACTCTTGGCAACGTGATTTACATGTCCCAAGTCATGATTCAGTGTGCTGGAAGTGAGGTAATGTCCTTCTCCTCTCTCCTGTCTTTCCATTTTGGATAAAACCCATGGTCATAATTGTGCAGCAGAAATAAACTGAATGTTTCAGAGATGCTGATCTAAGCTAAAATCTTTCTCTGTTGATTTAAGGCCTTTTTACAAACCTGAGATAAAACTCCTCGAAGATGGATGATCTCACCTGTAAAATTTACTGAACAGTGACTGAATACAGCAGATTGTAAGATGATTTTTGGAGGGCTGTTTTCAAAGTGCTTAATGAGGATTTGCCATGTGTAGTTACCTTACAGGATCATTTGGCATAGGAGTTATCACAGTGTGTTTGAGAGAGAAAAAGTTTTCAAGCTGTGTGTTGAAAAGTGCCTGAGGCACATGTTTTCCTTGGTGCTTTGGGCATGTTGCTCAAGTGGTAAACTTTGAAATACAAGCTTGAGAACAAAATAATTTGGAGAATCATAGAATCAACCAGGTTGGAAAAGACCTCCAAGATCATCGAGTCCAATCCTCCCATGGTTACTAGACCATGGCACTAAGTGCTACATCTAGTCTCATCTTGAAAACCTCCAGGGATGGCGAATCCATCACCTCCCTGGGCAACCCATAGAAGAATAGAAAGCTGCATTAGAAAGATGAGACCCCACCTGGAATACTGTGTGCAGCTCTGGTGTCCTCAGCATAAGAAGGACATGGAACTGTAGGGGATTGGGACTGGATAATTTGTAAGGGCCATTCCAACCCCTAAATTCTGTGATTTTATGAAAGGTGAAGGTGATGAAGTCTGAGGTGTTCATTGCTTTTAAACAAAAAACACAAGCCACACAAAGAAAAGCTTGTCCTACCAAAAATAATGTTCAAATAAGCTTAAAAGCAAGTGCTAACAGCAGGGGGATGTTACACAGGTTACTGACATGTTTGTACTGCTAGTTGTTCCCCTGAAGAATCAGTGGAGCTTTGAACCTGATGGGGCCCTTTGAATTGCAGCCTCATTCAGTCATTTCCTCCCTCAGAACAAAGGTGTCCATAAACGTGAAGGAAAAGAAAGATGCTTATGCAACTGAATATTTAAAAGTTTGTCACTTGGTATTTTTCTCTCAGATACTTTGTCAGATGCTAGAATAAATAGGTAGGATTGAGTAGAGCTGATAGTGCATCTCCTGCAGTCCTGTCTCTTTTGGGAGTCTTCAGAACAAACTCCACCACCCACTCTGTGTGAGTTAAGTGTCAAATGCACTGGACTTTTAGAAGTTTCTGCATAGTGTTACAGATTTTTTAGTAGGTCTAGAGCAGCTTCATTTGTGCAACAGCAACTTGGTTTGGCTTTGGTGTCTAAAGATGATATAGACGTGTAAGTGTTCAGTGAAAAACAAGCAGTAGGAATTGTGTTTTTGCAGAGAGGCTTGAAATGAAGTCATTGGCTTTGCCAATGGATATATCTATGTTGTCTTTAAACAGTAGATTGAGTAAACTTACTCTTCCTTCCATAAAAATACATCCAAACCAAAACCACAATGGAAAACTTCATGCATGAAACCAGCAAATTCAAACCAGAACAAAGACATGAGTGCTGTGGTTGTGACTATAATAACTGTTGCTTTTATTCTATATTCTTTTTCTTCTTTGGGGCATAACCCAGTGTTTAAGTCTGATCTCTCCAATTTGAGTGACCACAGTCTTGATGCTACTGTAACAGCATCCATGAAATTATAGCAAGGAATTCATCCAGTGTGTAGTTTTGGTATTGCTGACATTGGTCAAACAGTTGTTATCATATCAACCAGGTCAGTATTTCACCACCACTGTCAAATCTGTGGTTTGGAATAACAGGCTGGACTCTCCAAGCAGATTTCTAAATGTGTTACTAGAATATCTCATAGAAACTAAAGAGTAGTTGTTGTTTTTATTTTTTTTCTGGATTCAATGGAGAGTTAATTTATCAATGAGCAAATATTTGTGGAGGAATCATGGAGTGAGAACCTTGATAGTTTTTAACAATAAAAATGGGGAAAGAGGGGAGGAGGCTTGTGCTGTTGTATTTACTTGTTCATTTTCTTCTTTTAATAAGGAAAAGAATGAAAGGTATCTTCTTCTCTTCCCTAACATTTTGCTCATGTTGTCTGCCAGTCCAAGAATGAGTGGGTTTATCTATCAGGTAAAGTAATCCATCTACATCTCTATGTATTGGGGGAGAGTGGGGGGAAGTTTTTCCAAATGATGTGTCATGGGAAACTTGGAAGGATATAAAATTCTGCTTTTATAAAGACAGAAGGTAGTTGCACAGAATCAGTGAGGTTGGAAGGGACCACAATGGCCATCTGGTCCTACCTCCCTACTCCAGCAGGGCCACCCTAGAGCACATGGCTCAGGATTGTCCAGGTGGTTCTTGGATACCTCTAGAAAGGGAGAATCCATGACCTCTCTGGGCAATCTGTTCAGTGCTCAGTGACTGCACAGCAAAGAAGTTCTTCCTTGTGTGCAGTTGGATCTTCCTGGGCATCAGTTTTTGCTGTTGCCTCATGTTTCATTGGTTTCCCCCACTGGGCTGAGTCTCATCATCCTCTTGGCACTTCCCATTCATGGACTTGAATCAATTAATGTGATCCCTTTAGTCCTCTCCCTGCAGCCATGGCAGGACACACATCCCCCACCTCTCTCCAACCCTGGCAGGGAGTTGCAGAGAGCCAGAGGTCACCCCTGAGCCTCTTCTCCAGGGTAACCAAGCCCAACTCCCTCAGCCCTTCCTCATCCCACAGGTTTTTCAGCCTTTTGCTGCTCTCATTGCCCTTGGCTGG